CCAATCCACACCACAAAGACAAACGCAAGTTGGTCGTTGGATTACAATTTTATGAAAAATAACTGACATGTTCACACTGCCCAAACAGAGGCCAACAAACACTGATTAAACATGTTCACTCGGGTGAAAACATTCCCCGACCAACAGCAACAGACACCAATAGGGGAAACACACCGATCAAACAAAACTAAAACAATGTGCAGTGTGAATTGGCCTTTAAAAGGGATAGTTAACTAGTAGTTAAATGAATTTTGTTTTATTTTCTTCTTTTCATTAGGAGTTTGATGAGTCGTATGTGCAGACAGGCTCCGGGCAGCTTTATTCCTGGTCCTCACAGAATCACATATGGGATGGGGCTCCCATGACCCTGCGCTGCAATCATTCTGTGGTTTTTGAGGGGCCAGAGAATCGTCAGGGGCCCTTGCTGCAGCTCCTCAGACTGACAGGAATTAGTGGCACCTACAGTGTTTTCACTCTCAGCCTGGAGTTCAAGATGACTGCCAGCTTACTCATACCAGGTCAGTCCATGATACAGCTTTTCTTTTGATTGTGTAAAATGGTGTGTTTTCATAATATACACTTTTTTTTTTTATAAAATATAACTCAATTCAAAATGACATAATCAATGTTTCATTTCTGTGTAGAGGGCGATGGAGAGACATGTCCAAAAGGTTTTGTCTTGGACACGGCATCTTACTGTGCCGGTATGTTTCCAAAAAATGCTGCTGCATACTAGCTATAGAAGTCCACATTCCTTCACCTCTATTAATACAAAACTTATTACAGAATGTGATCACAATGATTTTTTTTTCTTAGATGAGGATGAATGTGCTGTTGACTCCCCCTGCTCACACTCGTGTAATAATATCATGGGCGGTTTCTCCTGTGCGTGTCCGTCTGGATTCACCATTTCTACCGAGTCAAACACCTGCCAAGGTCAGATCCATGTTAGTCATTAATTCTCCAATTTATATTAGACTTTGTCAAATTCACATGTGAATGATCTGTTTTAGGAGATGTTTCGGTTCAGCACAAAATAAGCATCTGTAACTGTCTGTTTAGCTTAACTTAAACTCAGTATTTTGATGGCACTATCCATAATAAAGTTAAAAGGTTCCTAGATGATAGCAGAAAAGGTTCCTAGATGAATAAAGTTAAAAGGTTCCTAGATGATAGCAGCCAAATAAACTGGAATGTCTTTTTATTTTTTTTAAATAGAACATTTATGTACTATGAGTTTATGAGTTATTTTGTTTGGATTCAGATATTGACGAATGCAGCCAAGGTTCCCACTTGTGTCACCCCAACCAGCAGTGTGTGAACACCGTTGGGACGTATCGCTGTCAAGCCAAGTGTGGCCTAGGCTTCAAACCCAGTTTAGTTGGCACCAGCTGTGAAGGTTAACTTGACTACTATCATTTTATATGTATAGACCATTTTGCTAGATGTAAACAACACTGGTCCAGAAACACTTCCTGTTTCAGTTTGTAACTGTTTTCTTTATTTCACATGTAAAGAAAATATCTTAAAGATGTTGTTTAACTTTTTGATTCAGTTTTACATGTTCTATTGGTTGTATTTTATCAGCTTTTGTGTAGTGTTAAAAAACTGAAACAGGAAGTGCTTCTCGACCAGTGTTGTTTACATCTTGCAAAATGGTCTATAAGCATTTGGTTCATACTCCCAGCATGTTTAATGGATGGAGAATTTATTACATTTATTTACTGCTCAAGTCAACAATGAGTTGAACATTCATTGAGTTTTCCACTATGAAACTCAATATTATCAGGTTTGTAACTTTAGACTGAATGTAAAAGTGATTGTTCTAGACACAGGGACCATAGATGAAGGTTTACTGACAGACATTTTCCTTCAGATGTGGATGAGTGTCAAGAATCAGCAGTGTCTCCATGCCAGCAGCAGTGTTTCAATACTCTAGGCTCCTTCCGCTGCACCTGTCACCCAGGATACCAGCTGGTGGGACATCGCTGCCTGGGTCAGTGTCACTTTTTTGTTAAGATTTGTTGTTAAATCCATGAAATGTGACCCTAAACTTCCTTGTATTCCACCTCTATGGTGGTAAACAGGATTTGCAATACATGAACTTAATAAGAACATTGCAGCAGACAGTTTTTTTTAAATTTTAATTTTAATTTTGTTAGCTGAATATTATTCAATTCTGATTTTAAAATTGTACATCAAAATTAAAGTACTAGGGACAGTTCACCCAAAAATGAAAATTCATTCAGTCATCATTTGTAGATACTCCTCTAATTCTATAAAATATGAAATTAAAAGCTTAATAAATGATGACAGAATTGTACTGGGGGGTAAACTATCTCTTTAAATATATTTTCTATTTTCATTTTGCTCAAAATTATTTAAAAATGCAGTTATGAGGAAATTCGCTATTTGGATGGTCCACCTTAGACATTCTACTAATCATAATGATATTTAGACTTGTTAAAGTTGACAAAGTTAATAAGCAAATATTAAGCAGTCTACAAATACACTTTATTTTGATGCTTCCCCAACAGACTGACTATAAGTAACATTGCAAATACATGTCATCTTATTCTACTAAGCCTAACCCCAACACCTAAACTTAACCAAACAGTCTACTAATACTCTAATGAAAGGTAGTTGACATGTACTGTAGTTGAAAAATTACTTATAGCAAGTAGAATGTCTAAAATGGACAATTGAAGTGCAACCGGAAATTCAAATGAATACACATACATAGATGTTTTGGAAGATATAGGCAATATTGAGCATCAACAGAATCAACAAAGTAGCTTAGTAAGCTTGTTTTTTGCTTAAAAAATGTTCCGCTTGTTTATAATCAGATATAAACGAGTGTTTGAGGAACGTGTGTCCAGCACACCAGCAGTGCCGAAACACAGATGGAGGATATCAGTGTTTTGACAGCTGCCCAGCTGGCATGAACACAGCAGAAAATGGAGTGTGTGTGGGTAAGAAGTCACACAATTAAAACCCTGTTACGTTAACCAATGGCAAGATTTGAAATGAGACATGCCTTTCTGTTGCTCGCAGACATAGACGAATGCCAGGATGGCAGTCACATGTGTCGTTACAGTCAAATCTGCCAGAACACGATTGGTGGGTATGGATGCGTTTGTCCTCGAGGCTACCGCTCTCAAGGCTTGGGTCGACCATGCTTAGGTGAAGTTCATAAACATAATCAAGGAATGCCACACATATACATTGACAGTGCAATGTGATATTACCAAACAAGTGGAAGTCAGTGAATTGGCTGACACTCACAGTTAAACTATGTAAACTAACATGTACAGTAAATGTCTAGCTTTGTTGAAGTAAGACTAATTCAAGTTATTTTTGGCTTTGCAGATATTGACGAATGTGCGCAGGTGCCCAGCCCTTGTGCTTTTCAGTGTCGTAATGTTCAAGGCAGCTTCCGCTGTCTGTGCCCTCCGGGGACTGTCCTTCTGGGTGATGGTCGCTCTTGTGCTGGACTTGAGAGAGGGCACATCTTTACCAACAGTACTCGGGTACAAGCCAGGCTGCGGCCCCAACTGGTATCCACTTTAGAGAGACCTTACCTCACTCGCCTCTCAGTCTTACCGGAGCACCTCGGATCTTCACGTCGTCCCAGGCATGAATGCCCAGTTGGATATACCAGCAAGGATGGGACTTGCATAGGTGTGTAACATAATGACTTTTATTTTGTTTTATTTATTTAATTTAATTTTGTTGTTTTATTTATGCTTCATTTTTAAATCATATATTTAAGACTGTAATTTAACAGATTTTTTGTTTTAATCTTTTTAAAAGATATCGATGAATGTGCATTTAGAAAGCCTTGCCAGCATGAGTGCAGAAACACAATAGGAAGCTACCAGTGCACCTGTCCGCCAGGATACCAACTATTATCCAATGGCCGAACATGCAAAGGTGAGTCTTTTTTATGATTGATGATACTGATAAATGATGGCTTTCGTAAACTCTTTTTACATGCTATAAACAGCAGTGTTGTAGTACTCGAGACTCGGACTCGTCTCGGACTCGGTCTCGAGACCATATTTTAATGGTCTTGGTCTTGTCATGGACTCGTGTCCATTTGGACTCGGAATTGACTCGTACTCGAACATTTTTTTTTTTTAGGACTCGGAATTATTCCCGAGTCCACTCGAGTTCAATTAAAAATATTTTTCATGATTATTAATGTATATTAATAAAATATTTCTTTAAATTGATTGACATGCCCAGTGATTGGTGATTTTCTAGTGCGCAACTGCGCATGACAAATTGTAATAAAATTACTTTTAACACCACCTACTATGTGGCCTTTTTACCCTAAACTGATCATATTTTTAAAACTCCAAGTAAATTCAGTAAAAAAAAAAAAAAAAAGGATTTCTCTAAGTAAATAAAAGTAAATTAGGTAATCAACCCTCACTGGTCTCGGTCTCGACTCGGACTCGACCGTCTCTGGTCTCGGACTCGACTCGGACTCGACTCTCTATGGACTCGGTCTTGACTCGGACTCGACTCTCTCTGGTCTCGGTGTCGACTCGGACTCGAGTGAGGTGGTCTCGACTACAACACTGATAAACAGTCTGAAAATCTCATTTCCTTGCAGATGTTGATGAGTGCACTGTGCAAGGTGTCCAGTGTGGACCAAACCAAATGTGCTTTAACACTCGTGGGGGTTACCAGTGTCTTGACACACCCTGCCCCACCAGCTACCAAAGAGGACGCAATCCAGGGTGAGAACTGTTTGTAATGTAATGTAAAGCCCGGGGATCAAGGATCGGCCAAATATCCGGCATCCGATCAGCGGTCTTTTCTCGTGGCAAAGTATTTTGATTAAATGCAATACATTTTTCATATATATTCTCTCGTTATTTGATCTGACCCCTTAAATGAGAAGGATATCTGTGCGTCATTAAATATAAGCGAAAGTTTGACTAATTCCTTTTAACTGTAATGAAATAATATCAAAGTCAGTTAGAATCATCAAATGTCAGGTAAATTTAACAACAGTTCAAATATAATCAATACAAAACATGAAATATTCTGGAATAAATAGAAGACGAACCCGACATTAGGAAATAGGCTACGTGAAGCTGAAAGTCTCGCGGACTCCAGCCTCATGGGCTCATCTGAAATACAGAAAAGGCCCTGATCTCTAGTTGCATTTCATTATATAGCCAGACCTCATTTCATATTTAAACAACTTAAACGCTCACAGTGGAAATTTTCTGTGATTACCCTCCCAGACTTACTGGGGCAGAAGTTGATTTACATGGTACCATTTGCTAACAGTGGGAATTAGCATTGAGTTAACATTGAGTTAGAATTAAATTATTTTAAAGTTGAACAAATGTACACTATATACATGTATAAAATGTTCAATAAGTCTTCATTACCCTGACCCTTCGCTGCCTTCCTGTCAAAAAGTCCAAATCTACAATCATTCATCCATAAGTGCCTTTTCGATTTGTCACTGTAGTAGAAATTAATAGTAGTAGTAATAGTGGTTCCCCAAAAAACTGATCAAATAATTCATTAAAAATGTGGAAACGTTGAAAAATCTTTTTAAGTACCGGTAATGGTTGTATACACACTAGTCACAGTTAAGTTTTCCTTAAAAATAGTAAAGCAAATGTTTTTAAACCTATATTTAAATCGACCATGAATACTTAAAGAACAATTCTAAGTACTTGCCACATGACTTCCCTTTTTTATCATGGATATTGACCATTTGCTGTCTTGCTTTGACCCCAGCACCTGCTACAGACCTTGCACTTCCAGACTGGACTGTGGCTCCGCTGGCTCTTTTCCTCTGCTCCAGTATAAGCTCCTCACTCTTCCTCTGGGCATACCAGCTCACCACAACGTGGCCCGTCTGTCAGCTTTCTCTGAGTCAGGAGTTCTCCAAGACCACACATCCTTCACTATCCTGGAGCAAGGAGAAGAAAATGGAGTGAGGCCATTTGGCATCAAGGACGAAGCAGGAAGAGGCATCATTTTCACAGTGAAGCCTTTAGACTGGCCTGGCCTGGTGCGACTCCGAGTACAAGCCACTACGCTGTCAGACCAGGGGCGCATAACCTACCAGAGTATCTTTATTATCTACATCTCCATATCTAAATACCCCTACTGAGTGTGCGAGATTGCATACTCAGGCCCTGATGTACTGTTGCTTTATGGGACATAGGAGAAGCATTTGTAAATGAACTCAATTCCCACCTATTTATGTGCCCTGTTGTGGAGTGGAATGTTGGATTCATAAATTATCATTAAGATAATAAAAACATTGCACCTTTTAATATTACTATTATTTGAAAAACATTTTAAATCTTGACTGGACTCTTTTGTTTTCACTGTTGTGCAGTTATTTCTGCATTTTCGTGATGTTAATAATGCATTCAGTATTAGATCTGCTGCAAAAATAAGCAGAAGAAAAAAAAAGAGAGAAAAAAAATTCTGACATTTTGATTGGACTTCAGTGTCAGCGTTACATGATCACCGGCTGATTTCTTGCATTAAAATGAATTACTGGTATGTTTAGATGTATTTACCTAGCAATATTTGTCATATGTTGTATTGGTATGCTCTTGTACATTAATGAGTGTACTCTTATATGTAAACGAGTGTGCGTGCGTGTGAATCACTGCAAGTGTTTGTGATGTGTATGTGAACATGAATATGGTTGCGTTCTTTCTGCTCATGATTCCTTGAAACTAAAATGTAGATTATGAAATTATTTTTAAAAATATTTTAGTCAAGCAGACCCATTACTAAACATCATCTCTTTTTAATCATTGCACAAAATATGTTAGGATATTCCTGCTTTAGAGAAGGGTTGTGCTGAAGTGCTGAAGGAGTGCCCATCAATGGGGTCTTGGTGGTTGTTTTCCCTTAATTATTTAATCCAACTCATGCATGGGTGGAAAAAAAAAATATTGCAAAACAAAAGTCATATATAAGCACATTAGCATTTTATTTTTCTACATAAATTAATTACAAGCTTCAGCACAGGCCTTGTGATGAAAGAGTTAAGATCACAAGAAACAAGAATGTGCAAAAGATATATGTTGCAGGCTATATTTTTCCAATGTTGTTTATGAACCAGAAAAATCCACTTGAAGCACATTTGCAAAATCTACTAAAGACCTACTCATTCAACATTAATTGTACCACATATTCACATACAAATTGTAAATATTCAACATGTTGCCACTTTTTACAGAAGCAGACTTTTTTTTTCTTTCTGCCTTTGTATAGAAACAGTTCTGATTAGGGTGATTTCCAGCATGTATGTGTATATATATACAGTATATATATATATATATATATATATATATATATATATATATATATATATATATATATATATATATATATATATATATATATATAGATATATAGATATACATATATGTGTCACAGGTCGGGGTGCTCTGTACAGTCTGTCCAAAAGATTCGCTGTGGGATACATTACCATTGTCGACGCCAGTGAGAGCTCTTCTCTCCGCAGCTGCTATATCCTTTGGACCTTGTGGGATAAAGAAGAGAAAGATTAATTGATGCCCTTTATAGAGAAAGTATTTTAACCTCATAAAGTAACTCATCTTTATTTTTTATCACGTTGTCCTGTCTGTGGTGTTCCTCTGGTCAGGCTCCCTCAGGGTGGTGCACTTTGAAAGGGGGCGTTCAAGGTCTGGTTGCCGCCCCGGCCTGTGACATGTATAATAGTAATAACAATGTGTATCTACTTAATATTTATTTATTGATGCATAGAAACTTTTGTTCACATCTTGTTGTAAAAATATTTGACATATACTACATGTCATGCCTGACTTTGCTGTGCTAGGTGTGCTCACTTCACCATGAACAGAAGATGTTGGGCCGGTCTTCTACTCCCAGCCTGAAGAGGGAGCTGTTTGTTTCCGGTCCACCAGACAGCAGCTGATGGGAGGGACTGTTTAAAAGCATCTCCTGCCAGTTGTTTGGTCTGCTCTGTAGTGATGGGAAGTCCGGTTCTTTTCCGCGAACCGGTTCTTTCGGACAGTTCGTTTTAATGAACCGGTTCAAAAAACCGGTTCACCAGTTCTTTTACGTCATCACGTAATGACGTCAATTCTATCATCCCGGCGGATAAAAATACTTCAAATTAAAGGGCATTTGTAATCACAACTTCAGTTAAATAATAGTATGCATTGTCATAATCATCTTGGATAAGTTTCTTACATTTACATTTTGAAAACGAACCCTGCTGCAGCCTAGGCGATGTGCTAACGCGGATGTTTTACATGTTTTAAATATATAAAATGCATAAATGGTCTTCATCATTTTATTTGTCATTAAATAAACTTACATTTCGCCGATTCGCCCTCTCATTTAAGTCCTGGGTTCACCCGTACTACTGCGTGCTCGTATATCAGCACAGGATCAGCCGGCCGAAAGAAAGTTCTGTTCAGAGACGGTGCTATCACGCATGCGCAGTATCTCCAGCTCATCGGTTCTCCGTATCGAACGTGTCCGAAAGAAACAGTTCTTGGTTCTGTACTAGTGATTCAAGAACTGCAACAACCAGTTCTCGACTCGAGAACCATAGCATAGGCCTGTGTGTGCTGACCTGAAACCTGAATACACAGTCGACAAAACTAAATCGATGCATGTCGGTCTCCAATATAGCCTTCTGTAGCCTATGCAGTGTATATATATCATGTTTATAATGTGTTAACATAACGAATTAAACATATATGTTTAATTCGTTATGTTAACACATTATAAACATTTACTAAGCAGTGCACCAAACCTTGGCAAGAGTTTACATCAATGATTTATATTGTTACTTACAAATTAAATGAGCTAGCTGTTCCTGAAAATATTATTTAATAATAAATGTTTAGTAGTTTGACAGTTTTAGAATCCAATCATTATTTCCAATCGTTAAAATAATACAGTGATACAGTAATGTGATAAACATGTTTCCAAAATGTTTTATTTTGTTACACTTACTGATGTTTAACTAAAGACATGGAAACGTACATTTCGTCCCTCAGAAAACAATGCACGCATGCTCAGCTCATCAACTCATCAGTTCTCAGTGTGTCGAACGTGTCCGAAAGAAACAGTTCTCGGTTCTGTACTGGTTATCCGACCGCTGTACCTGTATGTTCGGTAGTGCACGCATGCGCAGTATCAGCTGCTCGTGCTCATCACTTCTCTCGTCACCAATATATGTCTCCGTTCAGTGAAGTTTTTGAGTTACTGAATAAAATGTACTAATGGATATTGGTTTATTTCGATTCGGAGGGACTGTCAGGCATGTCTGAAAGTGAGTAACTTTAGTAACTTGTGGTTTAGCGTTGACGCAAGACGCGAACTGTTTCGAACGATTCAGTCCGATTTAGTGTACTGGTTCGACCGGTTCACTAAAAAGAACCGGTTCAAAAGAACGATTCGTTCACGAACCGGCCATCACTAGAAACGAGTTGAAACACAGGCGCCATTTTCTTTGACTCGAGTCGCAAGACATGCTCTGTGCTGTGCGTCTCGGCTTTGTTCGGGCTGCCAGGCAGGCAGCAACTCCACCATATTTTCTTTTGCTTTGTTTGCATTACACATAGTTTACACTTTACTGATCTGCACTACATTTTGATAGTTTTCTATTGCTTCTCATACACTGACTTAATGCATTTCTTGATTTGAATTATGATTTCATTTCATCATTTAATGTTTAAATAAACTATTTTTTGATTTAACTTTACAAACGGTGTGGTCTCCCCTATGTCACTGCTACTGTGAGCTAGGTAGACGTGACATATGGGGGCTCGTCCAGCCAGTTGAATCCCGAATTGTAAGTAGACTATTGTAATGCGCAATATTGTGTAGGCTTAGTTGCGTGGATAGTGCTACGTCATTGGTTCACATTTTTGTGAATGAACGTAAGGTGATCAGCTGATAGTAGTCAGCTGGCGCTCGTTTGTTTGTTGGGGAGTTCCGCATCGAGTGTTCAGTTAATGAATTGAATATTTGAAAATTAGTCACTAAAGTTAGTGTTTTGATTATGAAAAAAAAAAAAACCTTTTTTTTGGTGGAGTTTTTGCGCAAATATAGAGCAGTTTTTCCAACCATACTTTGTTTGATGAGTTTGATTGGCGAAGTGTGTGTGTAAGCTGATTTGTGTTGCAGGATGACATTTTACGGAGCCTGTTTTATCCCCAATTAGTGCGCGTATGCGTTGCTGGGTTTAGGTTCCTGGTCACTGAAGTCCGGACGAGGGCACCGCCGTGGAGCACCGGCTGAATTGACTTTTGTCGGGACAGTACGACTCCATCGGTATTGGTGAGTAAATGAGCCTTGTTCTTGGACTTAGTGTGAAGATAGGTTAGAATAGTAGGGGGGTAAATGTTTAGGGGGAAACTCCGTAGTTGTCCTGTAATGTAAACTATTTTTCGCTTCGCCTTTTTGAACTTTGTGTGGTTGGTTTTGTAATAGTAACCTGAAAGACGTTGAGGTATTAGCCCAGTTTTGATTTGGTTAGATGTATTGCTAGGGGGTGTTTATATAGACCATAGCCTTTTTTGATTGTTGATTGGAGACTGGTGAATTTAGCTGTGATAATGAGTAAACTTGAGGCGTTTTTAGCTGCTCCTTCTGTGGTCTTGCTCGCGGCTTTGAGTGTTAAGCAATTGCATGGTGTGGCTGAGCACTATGGAATTGATATAACATTGCCAAAGGTAGCTAAGAAGTGTGAGCTGGTTGACTTCATTCGTGCGTGTTTGATTGATAAGAAGGTTTTACCTGATGAGAAATTGCCGGCGCGCGATAGTGAGGGTGCGTCAGGGTCGGATTCAGATGGTGAGCCCACGCCAGGTTTGTTCCTCTCGCATAGAAAACTCAGTGTGTTAACATTTGAGCAGCAAGTTGAAATGTTAAAATTGCAACATGAGTTAAAAAGGGAACAAAAGATGTTGGAATTGGAACAAGAATTAGCAAGGAAAAAATTAGATGATGAGTTGACTCAGAGAAAGCTTGATAACGAATTGGACCATAAGGTTAGAAGCGGCAGAGAAAGACAAGGATCAATCAGCTGTCTTGGTCGCGGCAGGCTCATCTGTACCTTTTTCCGAATTAGATGATGTGCAGGGCCCGGATGATTCCATGCTGCATGCCCGTCTAAATAATTCAGAGACGTTGGGAAATTTAGAGGGAGTTTTAAATCATTTGGAGTTCCAACAGCAATCAGAATTGAAAGCATTAATCCTTGAATTTCCATGTCTGTTTTCAGATACTCCTTCATGCACAACTGTAATCGAGCATGACATAGAAGTCGGTGATGCAAAGCCGATTCGTCAGAGGTTTTACCGTACAGGTGCTGATAAGCAGGGTCGGCGCTATGGTGGGGCATTCGAGGGCCGTGCCCCCCCTAGCGCTCATTGATGCCCCTCCTACCACAGTTTCTAAATCATAAATCAGATGTAGGCTATACAATACCAAATGTTCAGCAATCTATTTAAATAGTACATTGTGTTTAATTTGTTGTCTAAGTGGATCTAATATGTGTTGGTGCCAAGAATTTTCACATAAAGAAATAGATACATCCAATCCGACTTATCTTTGTAAGTGCTGTAGTGGTCCAGTGGTAAAACCTTAGACTGGCGTGCAAGAGATTTTGGGTTCTAACCCACACTCGCATAATTATTTTTTTCCCCCCATCATTAAAACCGATTATGTTTGTTTATCAGTGGTTGTCAAGCAGGGACATGTTTGAGTGCATTTCACTTTGGATTTCACCGGTACGAATAGAGATTTCGCCGCAACAGATCAAGCGCGCGTCCGTGTGAAGATGTTTATTGTGGCAGCGCGAGCCACAAGAGAACACTTCAGCACCACAGATCGAGTCACCGAGCACTTTGATCACTTGATTTAAAAAACAACACATTTCAGCGTGCTATATCGCCTCTTATTTAACAAATGGAATGCTCTGCTAGGTAACCGGATATGTTTTATTTATTTGTATTGGTACATCCGTGCCGCGAGATCGAGATGTATAAAAGTGCCGGGACAACATCGACCCTGGCAAAAAGTGGTGGGGAAATTCGCAAATAATAATTATAAATAATAATTATAATAATAAAAGGTGTTTAATTTTTGTTTGTTTGTTTTTTTGCGTCAAAATATTTCTTAAACGGCAGTGCCCCCCCGCTGATGACCCAATGCCCCTCCAGTAGATCTGCTCTGGCGCCGACTCTGCTGATAAGCGTAAAAGTCTGGATGATAGCGTCCAATATCTTCTAGAAAATGGTCTGGCCATACAGTCATATTCCAGCTGGGCTTCACCTTGTTTATTCAATCGTCATATAACTGACGTTTTGGGACGTCTTTTGACCATACGTCAATATTCGCCTTTTTAGGGCCCCCTTAAACGTCGGTAGATGAGGTTATGGGATCCTAACTCTACCCCATACCTAAACTTAACCCTAAACCTAACCCGTCACCTAACTGACGTTAAAGGTAAAGCGTCAGTTGTATGACGGCCCGGGATCGCCATCTACCGACGTTTAAGGGGGCCCTAAAAAGGCGGATATTGACGTATGGTCAAAATACGTCCCAAAACGTCAGTTATATGACGATTTGGGATGAGACTGTGTTAGTTTATTAGTTAAAAAACCTGATCATACGTACAGATTTTGCACGGATTACAGAAAAGTGAATGGTGTAACGAAACCAGATTCGTATCCATTGCCTAGGATAGAGGATTGTATTGATCAAGTTGGTGCGGCTCGTTATGTGAGCAAATTCGACTTGCTTAAAGGTTACTATCAAGTTCCTCTTACTCCTAGGGCACAAGAGATCTCTGCTTTTATTACGCCGTCAGGACTGTATTCTTATACGAGGATGGCTTTTGGTTTGCGAAACGCTCCTTCCAGTTTCCAGCGGCTCATGAATCGAGTTGTTGCAGGACTGGAGGGGTGCGCTGTGTATATTGATGATGTGGTCTGCTACTCAGACACCTGGGAGGTCCACCTTGCCCGTATACGTTCATTATTTGAACGGTTGGCGGCTGCAAACCTTACTGTAAACTTGGCAAAGTGCGAGTTTGCACGGGCTACAGTGGTGTATTTGGGAAAGGTGGTAGGACAGGGCAACGTTCGCCCAGTGAGAGCAAAAGTCCTGGCCATTGACAAATTCCCACGTCCGGTCACTAAAAAGAATTAATGCGCTTCCTTGGTATGATAGGGTATTACAGGAACTTCTGTTGCAATTTTTCATCTGTCGTTGCCCCATTAACTAACCTGTTGAAGGGTTCAGTAAAATTCAATTGGACTGCTGATTGTCAACACGCATTTGAAAACGCCAAGTCTCTTCTGAGTTCTGCACCTATTTTGGCTGCTCCTAGGCTTGAGGAGCCTTTCCAGTTACAAGTGGATGCCAGCCAGGTAGGGGCAGGTGCTGTTCTCCTTCAAAGAGATGACAACGGAATAGATAGACCAGTTTCCTATTTTTCTCGGAAGTTTAATTGTCATCAATTTAACTATTCGACAATCGAAAAGGAGGCACTGGCCCTTATTTGGGCACTCCAACATTTTGATGTTTATGTTGGTGGAGGGTTACACCCTGTGGTGGTCTTTTCTGATCACAATCCTCTTACGTTCCTCTCTTCTCTTCAGAATGCGAACCAGCGCCTTATGCGTTGGGCTTTGTTTCTACAGCCTTATAATCTAACTATTAGACACATCAAGGGGTCCGAGAACGTTATGGCTGATGCCTTGTCACGGGGTCTTGATGACTGTTAAGAGGTGTCTATCTTTTCTCCAGTCTCTGGTTCTTTTCTCTTGTCTCCGGTCTTTCCATTCTTAAATTGCTATCCAGGCGCCAGGATTTGCTGAGTGGGAAGGAAGGGGGTGGGAGGGGATCGGGGGGGTGGGGGGAGGAGTTTGATGTATTTTTTTTTGTAGTGGCTGTTGTATTGAAGAGTTGGGTAAAATAGAGTGGGGTTAAATTTAACATTAGTCTTTTGTGGTACTGGTTAAAAGGGTAATGGGTTTAGTTAAGGTTTTTTGATATAATTTGTTATTGGGTTTTTTATTTTTAGTATTGATTATGGGAAATGGGAGTGATGAGTAGAAGTTAAAATTACAGAGTCCCATATGGGTCTCTGTTTTGTGGGGGGAGTGATGTCATGCCTGACTTTGCTGTGCTAGGTGTGCTCACTTCACCATGAACAGAAGATGTTGGGCCGGTCTTCTACTCCCAGCCTGAAGAGGGAGCTGTTTGTTTCCGGTCCACCAGACAGCAGCTGATGGGAGGGACTGTTTAAAAGCATCTCCTGCCAGTTGTTTGGTCTGCTCTGTGCTGTGCGTCTCGGCTTTGTTCAGGCTGCCAGGCAGGCAGCAACTCCACCATATTTTCTTTTGCTTTGTTTGCATTACACATAGTTTACACTTTACTGATCTGCACTACATTTTGATAGTTTTCTATTGCTTCTCATACACTGACTTAATGCATTTCTTGATTTGAATTATGATTTCATTTCATCATTTAATGTTTAAATAAACTATTTTTTGATTTAACTTTACAAACGGTGTGGTCTCCCCTATGTCACTGCTACTGTGAGCTAGGTAGACGTGACATACACATAGTGTAAATACAATAATCTTTCGTATCGCAGTCACTATTTTATTTTGCAGAATTAATAATTTGTCACAAACACGCCTTTGAACACACTCTTGTATTGGGCAGGCAGCAAAAAAAAACGTGTTTTATGGGGTAAGTTGCTATAAACATATATTTTACTAACTTGCTCCACCATGAGTAGCTACAATGAAAAAAAAAAATGTTTCTGTCATCATATGACTGGGTTCATTTTAAGAGAAAATGTCAAGGCCTACAGTTAGGCCTATTTGAAAATATAACATTTCAATACAGTTTAGGCTTTATTTACATTAGTAGAGAAATTTTGTCTGGAAACATTCAGGAGACCAGAAAGCTTCAATGTCTGGTCAATGTTCGGTATCAGTTCTTGGTCAAAATCCCAGACTCTTTTGTCTACAAACAGTTGGTCTTTGGTAAGATGCCCCTGCAGTGGGAATCTCACATGAACAATCCTACATACATCAAACGGTACACGGTAACAACCTCCAGTTTCTTTCAAAATAGAATGCACTGAGGTTTGCTGCACCTTCCTTGGGTTGACAATAATCTTTGTGGGATTAAAAATGTTCTTTCGATCAGGTTCTCTGTAAATGTGCTCCATGATATTGACACCTGGAATATTATTCCATTCTGCTCGTTTGAACTTCCCACTGTCCTCAAACTGTGTTTTGGGGAATATGTGGTTCTCTATGAGGAACACCCCAACATTGGGATGAGCAGACTGAAGATCCTCCATAAGAAGAGGTAAATTGCTGTGTTTGTACGGCATGATGATCTCATCAATATCATTCAGGAGAACGTACCTGGATTGATACATGTGCCTGTAAATGCACTCGTTGAGTGTTACTAACTGACCATAATATTGGATATCACCCTTGTGCGTATTGATGTTCCAGCCTGAGGACGGGTTTAGAAACTTGTCGATAGGCCATGAAACAATCTCCAGTATCCCTTCTGTTTCATAATGTTTTAAGAGTTTTTTCAGGTCTGGTCCACATTTCGTTTCATAGATGACCAGATGCTGTACACCCAGAAGCTTGTACATCTCTATAGTTTGAGCAACCTGCAGTACATTGTTGTAGTCGCCAAAAAGGTTGGAGATGCAAATCGTGAAGTTAAACTTGAAAGTCTCTCTTGCCACCTTATTTCGAATTGGCAGATACTCCATCTTGGAGTCAACTGAATCTTTCTCATCAGTTGTTATGAGGACATGTGTTGCATCTTGCGTGTGTTTACCTTTACAAATCACATCTGAGGCACCATACGGAAAGCTAAAATGGTCTGTGTGTATCTGGACATCTGCCTGAACAGTTCTGCAGTCATGTACAGTGCTGCAGTAAACACAGTAAAGCGGCTGAAGACTGTTTCTGTTGATTATGCTGATGACTCGAATGACCCCGTCCAGTCTGTGGTCGATAAACGCAGACACCATGAAATGCTTTGAGCCATTGATGGGCATTATCGAATTCGAAGCCTCTGGGATTTTTATTTTATTATTTCTTGGAGAAGCTCTTATTTTTGGAGGATGGTAGTGTATATAATTTGTAGGACTGTCCATGTACACTAAAACCAGCATGCCAATGCCAACAGTGAAAATACATGAGAGTGAAAGAATTGCCATAGTCCAACATTTTCCCATCTGTAGAAAGAAAACAACAAAAAAAATGTCAAAAACTAAAAAATGTTTTAAAAGCAAAATTTAAAAAAAACAAACAAACAAACTCTTGTGACAAGTTCACACAGCACAATTTTCAAAGTAGTCAGGTCACTATTCTTTTCACACTGCACGACTATCTGGGGCAGCATTCGGTTGCTGGTGTCTGCACATCATTGCACGATGGATCGGCGACAGGAGCTTTCACACTGACTTTACAAAAGACAGAATCGCCAACAACTTTGGTCTGGTCCGAAAACTACATTTCACAACCCGCAAGGAGTGATAAGGAAATAATAACGCAAGATCACGACCGGAGTTCTCGCGAGAGACACTGAAATTGTTATTAAAAATGATAGCCCGCAAGAAGCTTGCGATCCAAATTATCTGTGCGCAGTGCTCTGATTTGTTGTGAAATGGATGTTTTGCTTATTTTCAATTGGCAATTTCAGTTTGAAGGGTGATGGAAATGGGGCTTTAACTGCTCCGTACTTGCTGCGTTTTATTTCTATAAATTAATTTCGTTTCAAATGGGGTCCAATCAGTTATTAAAGGTGTTAAAAATTTACTCTGTATCTCGAGGTTGCGGCGCGCACACTATGCACCGAGTATTAACCGATGGGCCTCGGTTAACGATTAATGAACTTGAAAACGTGCCCGCAGCCCTACTTGTTATATCGCGCAAAAAATCGCTGCTTGAAATGGAGAATCGCCTGTACTGGTCTCGGGACACTATTGCAGCCACTACGGCAGGTGAGTTAATATACATGCTATCTTCCTAATTTAAAAAATAAATTAATTCATAATACCCGCTGAAATGGCTTGGGTTTTATGACGTTTGATCCTGAAAGGCGTGTTAGGGGTGGGGTCTGGGGCAGCGCTGTGGGGCTACTGGCCCGGCAGTGGAAACGCAAGCCCGGTGTTTGAGGCCCGAGGCCACTAGCTCGGCCCGGCTCGCTGTTAGCTAATGACAGAACAGATCACTTTGGTCTTGTCAATTGAACCATTTGGTAACTCTTTAAAAGTAAACTTTCCATTCAGAATCTTATTGGCATACATTTCGGCGTCTTGTGCTCGTCATCAATTAAAAATGTAACGTTAAACCCAGCTCTTTGGCCAAGCGGAAACGTGTGCCTGTTGTTTTGGTCTAGCTAGATCCGGTGTGGTGTTGTAGTTATACTTTCAGAAAGGGGCAGATTTTCACTTTCAGATAGGCTACAGCGTACAGCCAAAAGACAGAAAAAGGAACTCAATTTACGCTGTGCTACGCCACAGCACTCTTCTGAAACTTTTTTTTTCACTATTTTTTCACAACAGCAAAATAGACTTAAAATACTCCGTTATTTTTGATCATACAGACTTAAGAAATGTGGAACAATAAACTGTTAAATGTCTACTTTTTACACTCCACTTTGAAGTAAAAACATAACAATCAAAATAAAATATTTTGATTTTGTAAAATAAAGAAAAAAGCTTTCTGCCTCTTCATCTCTGTGAATTTATTTTTTGACAGGATGTGCTTTCGCTTTCTGCCTCTCCGTCTGTGAGATTTTTTTTTATTTTTTTTTCTTTGACAGGATGTGCTCTGCCTCGTCTCTGTGAACTTTTTTTGACAGGGTGTGTTTTCTGCCTGTTACGGAGCCCCTCTAGTCCCACTTTGGTAAAAAAAAAAAAAAATTGCTGAAAATATATTATTCTACAATTAATATGTGTGTAAGGGGGGGGGGGGGGATATGGAGCTAGGGTCTTTATTATTTGCAAGAAATTAAATGATCTGAGAAAAAAAAATGTTTGAGAGAAAAAGGTATCAGACTGATAGCAAAAAAGCATTTCATGAGAGAAAAAAAATATTTGAGAAAAAGTTCATACCAATTGCAAACAATAATAATATTTGAGACTAAAAAAGTTGAGAGAAAGTGTTCTCATAGAATATAAAAAAATATATATAATTTTTAAAATTATTTTTGAGAAAAAGCAAACTTTTTTGTTTTACTTAGCAAAAAACATATATTTGAGCTTTTTTTCTATCAGAAAGAACACTTTGTTTATCTCAAAACGCTTTTCTTGCTCTCGATGCAATTTCTTGCTCTCGAGTCAAGATTCTGCTTTCTCTTTAAAAATTGTGTCATGGGCGGTGCCAAGTTCCTATTGGCCAGTCGGTGAGCATCGTCTCTTGGGAGTCGAATCATTATTTGTGTAGAACTGATCACCGGTGATCAGCGAGAGATGCATGCCGGTTAGAAATGTGTCCGAGAGAGCAGTCCGCCTGGCTCTGATGTCATGCCGACGTATGTCAAAAAAACTCTCGCGGGCGCAAGGCGCACATGTCGGATTTTGCAGACGCGCGCAGTTGCTCTCCACTGACTGCGCTGGGGAAAAAAGCACGATGGGAAACGACTTGCTTAATGCTCATTGGTTTAAACAACAGGGATGAATTGTTCTCTTTTAAAATGTTTGATTTTACAACTAATATCATGTTTTATGTGTATACATATGGGTGAATAAACTCTCTGACAGTGCCATATTATGTGTTTTCATTTTAATTAAAACAATATATAAAAACACATCTGTATTAAAGAAAAAATGATTGATAAAACATATTTGGAATGTAATTAAATAACACGAGTACTTTGGGTGTCTTTCAATATTTCAGACACTCTGTTTTATACGAAGATTTTAAATCTGGACGTCTCGTTGTTAATAAAGTTCAGAACAAGTGCTGTCTGTCCAAAAGACAGACTCTTGAAGGTCCATTTGCAGACCTTCCTCCACAACTCCATTCTGCTAGCCATCACCGCAGCAGTCAGCTCCATCCGAGGAATGGTGACAAGTTTTAGAGGAGCTACTTAACTTCCCAACTTTCAAGCTCTTCCAGCCAAGCTGTCTATTCTTTAGTCACTGAAGAGGGCAAAGGTTCATCCCATCCCAAACTTCCCAAGATTCCTCTTCTTGTAAGTGGATGAGTTTTGAGTGTGATTTTAAACTTGAATGAGTCAGATTGGACACACCACTGTACACCCAAGACATACTCTACGGGCAGAGCGTCACTATTCAAATCCAAATCTTTCACCTCCTTAGCGCGCTCATCCTGAGGAATAGTAGCGAGAACAGTGCGCCGGTTGCTAACCCATTTTGTGAGCTTAAACCCACCTTCTGCACACAAGGCACTAAGCTCTCGACGTAGAAAACTGCTTCAGAGCCAGTGGACACCAAATAATCATCAACATAGAAATGATGCAAGATCGTGTTAACTGCATTAAAACTAAAGCACCTTTGATTGTCTTCAGCACACTTCCTCAAGGCGAAACAGGCACAACTAGGATAGGAAGTAGCACCAAAAAGGTGTACCGCCATTCTATACTCCACCAGCTCTCGACTGCAATCTCCATCAGGCCACCACATGAACCTTAACAGATCAGAGTAGAGTCTTCAGCCGGCACTCGGACCTGATGATACATGGCCTCAATATCTCCCATGAGCACTACAGGTTCTTTACGGAATCGTGTAAGCACTCCCACTAACAAGTTCGTGAAATCTGGTCCCTGAAGAAGCTGTGAGTTCAACGATGTCCCCTGAAACATCACTCCACAATCAAATACTACCTGCAGTTTTTTTTCTTCTTACAGTTCTACTGACCCGAACCGTACCGTACTATGCAGTGGAAAAGCGCCATATCTCCTACACTTATCATCTTCAAATCTTAAATATAACATGGTCAGGCATGTGGCTTTAGCTGCAGTGCATTTCTAGATTGATAATGCCAACTTCAATTTTATTTTCATGAAGATGTTTCATAAAAATATTTTTTTAATAACTTTACAAAACTTTTTTCAATGTGACTTATTTACTCTAAATTTACAATAAACTGACAGGTGTCAGCTTTCAAATGAGATCATACTTGTGCTTTTAGTACAAAGGATTCATGAACTTTATCTGTTTCAGTTTGGGTATGCCATTTCTTTTGATTTTTTTTTTTTTTTAAATTGCGGTTGCTGCTTAACAGGTTAAATGGATAAAATGAATGACATATTTATAATGGATGTCAATGTCATCAAAGTCACAGTTCCCTGTGACATCAGGCCGACATCAGGCCAGCATCAGAGCGAGGAGGCAAGATTTCATGGAAAAGGGAGCCAAGAAGAGTCAACTTGAAGATGAGAAGGATACATCTGAAGATGATGATGACTCTGAAGAAGACTAAAGTGACTTTTTTTCACATCACTTTTTATTGATTTAATATGTATTTATTTTGTATTAATAATAAAAAAATGTTTGAAGCAATTCAAAATATGCCAGTGTACTTTCTTTTATAAATTTGAATTACGGAAAAAGTGGCTGGTAAAAAATATAAGTGGCTGGTAAAATTGGGCATCCACCAATAAATAAATTGGCAGGTGGGCAAAAAAGTTAATTTCCCACCCTGGTGGTCTGTAAATCACTTTTATTTTGATTTAGTTGTTCTTGTTGCTTTTCTGCAACAGATTAATTAAAATGTATTAGTTTTTATGTTTTATTCATAGATATTTCTAGTTTGCAGGAGTATCGCAAATAATTTATTTCTCCAGCAACCTACTCACACAGAGTGATGCTGCGTTCATTTGCTATGGTAATTATGGTAAATACCAAAAGCCGATGTGGAAAATGCATATGAATCCCACAACAATGGTGTAATGATTCAGTTCGACCTCTCTATGAGTTCAACTCCCAAGACAAGACGATGCTCACCCGACTGGCTAATAGGAACGTGGCCCCACCCCAAAATCCATATTTTAGATCCACTTTTTAATACATACACTTTGCATGCACTTGGAAAAGAAGCTACTAATAGATTAATATCAATGAATAGAATGCACAAAGCAAAATCCTGACTGGAGAGCAAGAGAAAGTTTTCACTCAGGTTAGCAAAAATATATATATTTAAGATTTTTTCCAAAGTATTTTGAGAGAGTTTTTTTCCTCAGAAATAATTTAAAAACCTTTTTCTC